GATAATATTCTATTAAACTATAATTATACGAGTATTTATTTATACGTATTGTGATTTGATAATGAAATAGTGGGGTCTGGATGTCCCAACAGTTATAACCCACAAACCACAGTTATGAAATGGGTGTTTGAGCATCTATCACGGCTTATAACATTAGATGCCTCGTTCCTAGAGTACAGATGTCTTCTGTCTCTCAAAGGTGCCTATTATTATATGACGTATTAGACTTCATAGACGCCCATAGATAACAGAACAAAAAGCTCCTACATGGTCTATCCATCCTTTATTATCTATGTCCGTCGTCATGCGATCGATACAATMATATTATGATGTTGCGGATACCTAAAGGTACGTCATGATGGATAGGTCTTTCAAACACYGATAACTCCTTATCATAACCTCGTCGCTCGCCGTGCACATAGCAAAACGCGTTTCGYTTGTGTGTGTGTGGTGGCATGCTATGTTGGTGCATCTGTACGACTTACCTATGGTATATGTATATCGTATACTGTTGTGTGTTTTATACATTTGTGAATATTATTATTTACAATATAAACAGTACTTATATATGTGTGGTGTAGAGCTATACCGCAAGGCTGCAGTGGCCGCGATGATTTTCGTTGAGTTTTTTCCCTTTAAATAGAAAAAAAATATATATATATATATATCGCATAATATAATGTAATGTGGCATATTGAATAATAGTGCTCCGGCAAGGACGACGCTGCGACCAAACCGCCGGATTGACTCCCATATAAGGCTGGTCTCCGGGCAGCTTTTCTCATTGGCCGCGGGTCGGGCTCTCTCACACACGTCGACGACGAYGATTATTGTAACACGTTCATCGAGTCCTCGGATGGCAGGAGAAAAAAAAATCATCACGACGTAATATTATTATTATTATTCGTTCCGCGTTATATCTAGCTCCATTCGTCGAGACCGCGGAGCACACTGTTTAACGGGTGTTATCCCACAGATTTGCTATTGAGCGGGCCTAAGTCATCGCRAACGATTCGCTTGTTTGCGGTTATAATATATGTTATTATTATTATTGTAAAACGTCACGGGGTTCGCCTTCAGGTCGATTAAGTCACGCCAACACAAATCGCGCGAGCACATCTGCTGCGTAGGTTATATATATCGCATAAACATTCGAAAAATATAAATTCCTACGATTAAAACTGTGCGTAATAATATTATCTTGCTGCTGCAGCCATATGTATTTATTTACAGGCCAATTTCCCCCAATTTCAAGCACATTTATGTTATAATAGCGCAGACATAATACGCCCAATCAAACAAATTAAACATAGTTATAGGTAATAACCCTGCACACTTTTAGGAMTTTAAAATTGTTATTTTTAATTCCAAAAACCTGAAAGTCGAAGTCGGTATATCATRCCCTTTAAGCTTTTCTAATTTTTCTAAAATTACTATATATATAATATAATAATATTAGACTTGTTGCACGATACAAAACACTCTGTCTATATGCYTGTAAATCATTTATATTCTACATTTTGTATACTACCTATGTCATCAGTTACGTTTGTGCACTTTTTTATTGTACGATAAAAGTTTGACCGCACTCGGCTGCACTGTGCGTTCGCGGGATTTCGGACGTATAATAGTTATATTAGCTTCAATTATTAWATTATTATTGGCGACCGACCCGTTAAAATKTATATGCATACATGCGAGACGGAGAAGACGCGAGTGCGAAAACCTCCGCCGCGAAAAATCAGAGAAAGTCCGGTGACGGTTGCTGAACGGCGGTCGGTCGGTCGGCCGCCCGAAGAATTCAGTTTCCATACATGGCGTTTGCTTACGGTAAAATCGGCGGCGGCAGCCTCGCGCGACCGACCATGTGTGTGTGTAAATTGTTATAAGGCGTATAATATAAAATAATGTATTATTATTATTATTATAACCTTGCCGGACCAAAGACGTATTTTATTCCGTATCACGCGGCAGGTTTTTTTTCTTCATATCATCGTATATATATTATATATCCAAAGCGAAACGTTACCTACCCGCGACGAGCGCACACACACACACGATATTATCAAATTTTCGTACAAGACGCGACGGCCGCCGAGACCTCATGAGGATGACGTTTTATGTAGTATTATAATTATTATTATTATTAGTGTCATAATAAAAATCGTTTTAATATAATATTATTTATATTGTGTTTGTACACCGCAAGTCGACCTTTATATATACATAATATTAATATACAGATCGTATCTCCGTCGCGGCTTGTTGCAGTATAGTTGCAGTTTTTCGCACGACTCGCTGATTTTTTTTTGCGGCTGGTGACATGATATATACGTACGAGGTACGACGAATATGATAATATTATTTCGTGGCCGTACACCTATTATACTTATATATACCAGTTGTCATTATGAACGACATTTTTTTTTTTTTTTTCTGGTCTGCGGCGCCTGTGAAGATGATACGATAGACCGCAAAACCGCGTGCGGTATTATTGTCTCGCCGTCTCGACATATATTTTGAACCACAGTCTCTATTTTAGTGTTAATATTCGCACAAAACAACCTTACCATAACAACGATTCCCCGGCGGTCTTCATCCTCTCATCGAGTTACCCGCGATGGCTGTTAAAAATTTAATTTTTTCTCTCACCGTGACGTCACGCGCGCCGAGTTTTAATGGGAATTAATAATCATTTAGATTTTCAAACGACCGACCGACCCCCTTCCGCAGTCACATATCTGTAATAATTAAACATGAGCAAAAATGCTATCAATAACTTCTATGTTATATGAATAGATGGGGATTTTACCGTAAAATAAACACTATTAAAAAATTTACGTAAATTTATGTAAATTTACGTAAATTTTTTAATAGTGTATATTTTTTTTTTATTAATTTATTATGAACTCAATAACTTGCTTACAACTCAGCTAACCAACACTACCACTGGACATTTGTCCACACTTAACCTCAAGTATTATATTTAAATATGTATGAGTATGAATAGTATGATGAATAAATTATGCAAATTTGAAATAATTTGAAGAAACGAAAAATAACAAAAATAAACTTATTATAAATATATTTATACTTCACTTTATTCCTTTATTGCTTGTATTATACTGATATAAATCAACAATACAAATGATGAGGTAAACAATCAGTTATCACTTATCATTAATCAGTAATCAATCATTAATTATTAATCACATACTATAAATTACTATATAAATATAATTAGGTATACGTATACCGTATTCAGTATGCGTGAACGGTGGTTGGTGGGTTATTTATAGACTATAGTGTACAGTGTACTTGTGTACTGCGTTCGGGGAATGGTGATAATTTGAACTGGTTTTACCAAATTCTAGTAATATTAAGTATATTGACGTATCGACAACAACGGTCTACGGATAGAAATGTCACTAGTGATAATGTATATATGAAAACATTTGAAATAAGTGGTCACTCGATTTTTAGAACGGTAAAAAATATATCGGTAAAATTTACCGATCTCCCATCTCTTGTTATAATATGCGATCGTTGACTGTACGATGTTAAAAACGCATCATGACCTGCCCTATTTATTATTCCATTAATCTGTTTGAAAGTCGACGCGACCGTTCTTATATACGCGAGCGATGTGCAGCGTTTTATTGGGTTATCTTTTCGTTTATATGTATATACTATTATGATACCTACTGATATAAATATATTATTATTATTATTATTACTATACGCTATGCGTCAAGGCGTCTCGATTAATTCTCAAAGAATCGTTGTAAGATATTTTTCGACGAGTTCCGAATAAAAGTGAAAAAAGTAGGTACCTAGAATTAGGAAGGTATACATTTCCGGTTCAACGTGCAAATAAATATTGTTCCGAGTGGAATTTAAAAAAATATATATTAAATCGGTTTTGTTTAGTTACGTTTGACTGTTAACCGGTATACCTTTGACCCAGAAATAATCAAACGTAATGTACATACGACTATTGTAAATTCCTCTTAGATGAAATGTACATTTTAATGGGTATTGCTAGGAATGTTAGGTTGTTGATGACAGTCGTACACAATCAATGTAAATGATAAATTCAGACGAGAAGACCAACAGCTTATTACTCATAAATGTTTTACGTGGGTCGTTAAGTACAATAATAAAAATATGTTCAATTCTCACCTATCGTAAATGTGATGACCTCGGCGTGGATGAAGAATGTACGCGTTATTATTAATTATTAGGTACCTACATACATTTTTTTTCAAATTTAAACATACCCACAATTATTATTAATCGTTGATCAATGTGTTTTTTAATAAGTTTGTTGTGCTATATTATTGTATTGCGCGCAAGCAAATTAGTTTCTATTAAATCTCCAATTGAAATATATATGCTGCAACCATGAAACTATTTTGATGAGTATACCTTTTATTGKACACAAAATATTGATTATAATAATTTGTTTCGACGATTCGCACTGTGCAATTGTATGCACAATATGACTAGACTTAATCAAAGTTTACGAAAGGAAAAAACAAAGAGTATTTCGTATTTTTTTGTACACATAAATATAACCACGTGCCTATTCTTTTACAGTAGGCATCGAATTCTATATTTATATGCATTAAAGTGAACGATTTTTCTCATGAGCAATTAGTATTAGAAATAAATAATGTGTTGCCTATTTATTTATTTTTATTTMATTCTATTTAATATGTGTATGTTCGTAATTAATGAAAAACAGAAGTAAACGTTGGTATACCTACATAGATAATTACAAAACCAGAAATTAGGACCGGGGAATAGGGGCAACTGATTACTTACCTAACATCATAATATTGCCCCAATGAAAATCATTTAGTCTCACTGCAAATAAACGAGATAAATGCAAATAAAAACAAACACTATATTACTGTATTAATTTTTAGGACAACTAACAAGTTGTGTAAAACTAAAATAAAAATACTGATTTCAAAATTTTTTTTTGTCTTTTACAGATATAGCCATGGACTGGTCAGATCACGCTCTCTGGTGGCCCAACCGTAACTCGTGGCTCACCAGGACCCGATCGACGTTGGATCAGTATGGAGTGCAAGCGGACGCAAAGCTGCAATTCACCAGAATGCACAAAACTGCACGCATCCAGCTGCCTGACCTCCGGTACGTGGACATGCGAGTGGACTTCTCCATAAAAACATTCAACGCCGTAATACAGATATGCAAAGAGCTAAGTGAGTATATCCAAGCCGACCAATCGATTTTATTGTGTATCCATCTACTGTAAAACGTCTGTAACTGAAGTGGCGCTCGGTGCAGAACAACGTAACTCCATCATTTGTAATTTTTTAAGAAACTTGAACTAACATTTTATTAACCCCCCTTGATCAAATACCGTTTGTAAAACATATATTTTTCATGTTTTAGATGTATATAATATAACATTACGTAAAGTCTTATTACCTTTGATTTCATTTACATTTTAATTAATTAATTTAAATATAATTTAGTTGAGATATATATATGGGTTTTAGCCCCGGAATTAAAATTATTTTTCATAAAATATCTCTTACATTGTTCGAAACCAAGACCAGATATCTCCTTTTGCATGGTATAAGCTTATCTGTCAGTCGGAGATGTATCGTTATTACCAAAATGTACAAATTGAGATACCTTGTTATTTTATTACACCTTATTGAACTGTTTGACGCGGAGGGGTGGTTTTTTTATATTTACTTATTTTTCTTTGCGATCTGTAGATATCAGACACCCAGAAGAATTGTCTCTGAGCAAGCCACTAGAACCGTATCACCTGAAGCACAACATGAAAGAAATGCAATACAACAACGGTCAAACGCCATCGCCCGATACCAACTCGTTTGCTGTAAATCACAGCCCATCCGGTTCCACCGGCAGTCTGGACATGACGTCTTCGCCGTTTATATGCGCTCCACTGAAAAATCACTCAACGCCGATCAGTTCGCCCGTGTCTGTGAGTACTTATACCGTTTTAAACCGTCGATCCATATAAATCGATATTTTTTTAATATAACGTTTTCGTGTTTTAAATTTTTTATTTCGTTCCACAGCAAAATGGAACTTGGAAAAAAGGATACAGCAAACCGGAAATGAATGGAAACGTAACGTCACTGGAATTGTTGAACGGATCCCTCGATACGTCTTTGGCTAATAGCCCACTTTCGCTGAATCAAGAGGTGCGAAACAAAGTTTTGAAACCAAAATCACTGGTAGAAAAAGCCAGAATGAATGTGGCGTGAGTAATATTTTTTAAACGTATAATATTATATGGTAACATCGATAACAACTCAAAAGTTTGGTCTCTTTATACACACATAGATGGTTGGATTCGTCATTATCAATAATGGAACAAGGTGTCAGGGAATACGACTTATTGAAATTGCGGTTCAAATTTTATTCTTTCTATGATTTGAATCCTAGACTAGATTCTGTACGCATAAACCAAATATACGAACAAGCCAAATGGAGTTTATTGAGTGGTGAAATTGATTGTACCGAAGAGGAAGCTTTAATGTTTGCTGCGCTACARGTATGTTGTGATATCATGCTTGATAATACATATTAAAATATTTATAGATATTCAAGCTATATAATGTGTAGTTAACCGCGTTATTTCAAAGTTTAAATACTTTTTAAAATTTTTCATTGGACACGCGCATAAATGTATTGATATTTTTGGATTTCAGGTTCAAATAAATCTAAAAGCCAGTGTACCACAACCACTTTTGGAGACAACGGGTGGAGATGACGATATCGATGCTGCTCTGTCTGATCTTCAAATTACGCTTGAAGGGTTCCAGCCACAGAACAATGTCAATAATTTGGCACATGCGCCGGAGTTGACTGATTACTTGAGATTTTTGAAGTGAGTAATTTTCRTCTAATTTGATTTAAAATATGGTCAATACCGGTGTTGTTATAATTATTGTGAATCCCTGTATACAGGCCAAAAAAATTTACGCTGAAAGCGTTTAAACGTTATTGGTTTACATGCCGAGATTTACATTTGAGGATGTACAAAACGGCGGAAGACGCCGAAGTCGGTGCACTTCCCGTGCACAGTGTCAGTCTCAAGGGATGTGAGGTAACTCCGGACGTGAATATTTCACAGAACAAGTTTGGTATAAAGTTGGAAGTGCCCAGTTCAGATGGCATGACCGAGATGTGTATTAGATGCGAGAGCGTAAGTGTTACGATGCTATTAAATCGATCGAATAGTGCGATGACGGCGTAGAAATTATTTGCTGACTTTTGACAACTTTTAAACGCACATATTATATTATAGGAGGAGCAGTACGCCAAATGGATGGCTGCTTGTAGACTGGCGGCCAAAGGGCGCCCGTTGTCCGATCACTCTTATGAATCCGAGGTGAAATCGATCAAAGCGTTCCTCGAAATGCAACATCCGTCGATCATCCAGTCACCCGTCATTAGCCCGTCCATGTTGGACATCTCGGTCGAGGACTACATACCGCACAGATTTTCCAGAAAACTCAAGGGAAAGGTAAGCATTACAATCAGCACGGCTCGGTCGTARAAATACCTACCATGACCAAAGACGGTCATTAACTAAAAGACAGATAATGTATCGACAATATAAATCCGTTTTTTCCTCATGTAGCTGRTCCAGCGTATACTCGAAGCGCACGCCAACCTCAAGGAATTGACTTTGATGGAGGCAAAGATGAACTACATCAAAGCGTGGCAGTCGTTGCCCGAGTTCGGAATCTCACTGTTCGTCGTCAAGTTCATGGGCCACAAGAAAGAAGAGCTGCTGGGCATAGCGTACAACCGTTTGATGCGCATGGACATCGCAACCGGCGATCACATAAAGACATGGAGATATAACACAATGAAGGTGCGTTTATAATTATAATAACGTCATGACGAATAGATGAGTTGAATCATCAGCTACGTAGTGTGTCGTGTCGTTCGAGGGTGTGGCATGAGTATGGTCATAACCAAATCTGGTTAAATTTGAGTGTTGCTGTGTACTTGGTACACCCGGATGAAACTTGGTTCCTATAATATAATATAGATGATACCAAAAGAGTAATGTCCAATCACAATAAAATTCGATCGACACAACACGACACGACACGACGCTTATTATTTATCCCTTTCACGTTCCCACCATCGCCCACAGGGAAATCACAATAATTTGCATATTCTCACGTTTGTTTTGTCCCGTCCAGGCGTGGAACATCAACTGGGAGGTCAAACACATGATGGTGCAGTTCGAAGAAGGCAACATAATATTCGCCTGCCAGTCGGCCGACTGCAAGGTGATACACGAGTTCATCGGCGGTTACATATTCTTGTCGATGCGTTCCAAAGAGGTGAATCAAACGCTGAACGAGGAGCTGTTCCACAAGCTGACCGGTGGCTGGTCATAACGTGTCGCAGTGCGCGACGTGGTGTACGGCGAGATGACTATTAATATTAATTGTAACGTTCGTCTCGCTCTTACACCTAACCTCATACGAAACAATCGAACAAACGAGATGAATGCAAATCGAAAATGATGTACATATTATTATTATCTCGCATGATATAATATTTATTTATTTCACCTCCAAAAATTTAGCTGCTTATACCGTAATGCGTGTAGAAGCAGCAAGTTTCAGGGGGAGGAGGGAATGTGCGACAAAGAGGAGGTCACTGTTTGTTTCCTTGTTTACGTTATTTTTTTTTTTTTTGTAAATTATTATAACAAAGTGCGTTAATATGTTGTTTGCCCATTTATTGATATAACATAATATTGTTTTAAACGATTATATAATATTGTTTATTTTCGTTGCGTAATATTAAAAAAAAAGTATTAAAACGTATAGTAGTAAGCAGTTAATATCATAATAAATAATATTATGTCTAAAATTATTAGTATACAATTTGTTTGTGTTTAGAAATAGAGTTATCATATTTTATGTAATATAGGTAATAAATAATAATTATGATTATAAATCGCTAATAATAGGTTATTAATAATAATATTATAACAATATGTTGTTAGGTAGATATGTAAAATGTGCGCAGATGCTAAAGGGTGGTACCGACACCAAATTTTCTGTTCGTTTGGCTTCTGTGTTATTACTAATAAAGTAATAACTAATAGTAATAATAATAATAATATTATTGTTTAAGAATAACAATAAATTTACAACTTTCTGCAACAGTCGTTATGATAATATTATTATCTGTGTGTAGGTATATTTTCAAAATAACGTTGAACTAATTTGTATTTTTTTTTTGATAATACGACGAACACAGTTATAGTGATGTTATGCACCGAGTTCGTTTCATTGTGTAGTAAAGTTATCAACTTCTATTTTATTGCAATTTTATTTTATTTTATTTTTTAGCTAAAAATTAATAAACCAGGATATACTTCCTACCTACATATTTTTGTTTTATATTTATACGAAACAAACGTCGTACACGGGATTTTAATGATTAAAACGATATATTCTTGCAATTTCACTTAACGGTAGTACTTACAATACCTAATTTTACAAAATATATACATTCGTCTATTATAATGTTTTATATATAATAATATGTATTATATATTTGATTAAAATAATATAATATAAACACAATATACCTGTGTAATATAATATTTATACATTATATTATATAATAATAGATTGTAAAAGTTGTTCTTTATTCTTTTTAGATTTTACCATAATATTATATAATTCAAATATAATGTTTTATTTTTAGTTAAAAAAAAAAAAACATAAATTTATACTTAAAACGGTGCTTTATACCAAAATTTTCTTTATAACACTGTTATAACATTGTAACTTAATAATATTATTGTTGCCCTAATTTTGTTTTAATTTGTGAATTTTTTTTATGTATATAGGCTTTATTATATTATTATTTTATTTTATAATATTATGTTGAAAAACTTCTATTAAAAAGGAAAATAAATTAACGCAGTAAAAGTATTTTTTTGATACCTAGTGCGTTTTATTTTCTCGATTTAATATCAAATTGTATTAACGAAAATGAAATTATAGCAATTTATTGTTGTTTACCATATAATATTATTTGTTTGGTTGTATAAATGAATACTTTTCTGGTCAGAGTAGGTGATGATTGTTTTCGCAATAGTTAATTAACTATATTTTATTGTTCAAAAAATGGACTTTAAGTCCCAATAATACCTAGATAATAAGTTAGTAATATCTAAGTATTTACTTTAAATACATTTGTACTACCTACATAAATGGAACTTTGTTGAACTGCTAAGAAGTTGATTAATGAACACTATATACTTTTCTATGAATTATTATTAAATTAGTAGAATATAAATTAATAAAATGTATATTGTATTAATGCATTGTTCAAGTATCTAATTTGTTAAAATTTAGTACTCATTTTTTTTTAATTTAATCTATTTACATTTTAACAACATAAAAAAAAATAAATAAATAAAAATAGAAAACGTATAATGATTTTGAATTATCCTCAACATAAAACTCACATACTTGCAAAAAAAAAAAAAAAAAATTGTGATTATTTTATAATTACACCAAACAATATACAATGCAAAATGAGGTTAGACACCAGAAAACTTAAATTTCAATGTTAAACAATACTAAGAAAAATTGATAACCAATTCATTTTAATCCGCAGCCGAAAATTCAGAATTTGTTACCATCAGTCCATAACTGAAAAAGAAAACAAATTTGGCGTTTAAGATTTAGGTTACAAGTTCTGATTTTGTGGTTACCAATTATTACGAATTTTAGGTCACTAATTTCTAAGCAATGTTATTGACTTTGAAATTTGAATGTATCTTCATAAATAATTTTTTATTGGGTATTCAAGTGTATATTTTAAATAGTTTTAAAAATAATAATCTGTAACTGTACTTGAATGATTTTAAATAGTGAATTGTACAAGACTGCAGAAATAGCCTACTTTGTTTCTCTAATACATAAAATGTTTAAATGTTATACCATTCAGTGAATGTATATTATATGATACGGGTAGTGTTAACATTTGGATTAAGTCCACATTAGCCGGATAATACAATACTAGCAAACTGTTAACATTAATCGGATAATATGATAATATCATCCATGAACTTTTGGATATTGTCTAACACTCTTAACAACCATAAAAATGTATAAAATTGTTTTAAATTATTAACAATATTGAACATATCTAARACACAATAAGAGATTACCGTAAAATGYATAAATTATTAATATGAATTTATTTTTCATTTTATTTAGCGTTTTGTATATTATCTAAAATTAAAACGAAAATGCCGTGCAATTACCATAAATATTAAGCTCGTAAATAATAAAATCTAATAATTAATACTATATTATATTGTTCA